CCTGGGCGTCGGTGTTGTTCAACAACTCTCAGTAGTTCTCACGTCAGCCAGCCCTGGCTCCTCTGCTGAGGAGTCATGTTGTGCTCGTGGGGAGGAGCTCAGGGTTATGTGGGTGCATATACGGTGGCCGGTCCAAGGGGGAACGGAGGGATGGGGAGGGGACCTGTGCTGCTCTTTCTAGCCTGCCCCCCCAGGGTCTTACCAGAAAACTGAAGGGCGCCAGGTCACAGGCCCCTCGGTCCCTCAGCCTGCCTCAGCATCTAGAAACAAGTGACAAAGGGGCCTTTGTTTCCCTTGAAACTGACATTCCAAAATCCTCCTCCACCTGCTCCCTTGTGGGTGCTGGGGAGAGGGGAGGGGTCTAGGAGAAGCTGGACCACCCTTTTGAATAGGTGAGGGCCCCTGATCCTTCCTGTCTGTTTGCCCCCCACCATGATGCTGGGGCCGCATAGAGCCTGGGAATGGGGGAAGAGAGAGGCAGTAACATTAACCCCGTTAAAGGACGCTCATGATAGTGTCTGGCATAAGATACTGTAAAACCTGCAAAAGCTGGAAACTGTAAAGCACAAACCTGTCAGAGAAGGAAAACTCCAAATATTTTCCAATAAAATGAGCGATAGAAAAGTGGTAAGTCTGCACCTGGTTGAAGGTGGAAAGCTTGCAAGACCCAGAAAAACCAGGCAGTCCTGTCAGAGTCCGGCTCTCGCAGGTTTCACTCTACTTCCTTCCCTTTTTCCTTTAGGAAACAGGGGCCGACACCAAGAGGGCACTTTTTAGATGAGATAACATCAGCCTTGCCTTGAACCCTCTTGATAATCCCACGAGCTCACCATGATTGCCCCTGCTGCATAGACGGAGAGAGTGAGGTTCTGAAAAGTAACTTGCCTGAGATCATACAGCTGGAAGTCGCAGAGCCCAGATACAAACCCAGAGAGGCTCACATCAGAGCCCACGGCCAGCCCCATGACCCAGGCTGCGGGACACCCCGCACACATTCCCAATTCCAGAGCGCTGGCGGTCTTACCTTGTGGGTAACCATATTTTAACTACCGTCCCACTGCTCCTAGGAACTCTCCATTTCTGCCACTTGCTGAAGGGTTTGGTTTCAGGGCAGGACATAGTAAAGTGACAGTATTTTGTGTGCCTAAAGAGAGAGACATGGGCAAGTGTCAGAGCACAGAAGTAGAGGATCTAGAGAACAGACCCTTTTGGACTCGGAGGGACTTCGTCAGAGCTAAGAGGGTCAGTCCAGGAGACCCTAAGGGGGAGGTGGGACCCCCTGGCAGACCCTGGCTCTACTTCTGTCTTCTCCCCCAGGGACACCACGACATCACCAGCATTCTTCGGACCCAGTGCGTCGAATTTCGGGACAAGAAAGGTACAGTGGTTGCTACCCTATGGTACTTTACAGCATCCTCAGTTCAGGGTATGGAGGGGAAAGGAGAAGAACAAATGAGAACATCCTCATAAGACTGCGGGATTCACAAACACACACCTACCTCACTTCACTGCGCATGCTATGACCACACCCACCCATAGCTGGCGTTACAACTCAGTGCCTGATGTGTGACAGCCCTCCTTCCACCACTTCCCAGTAACTCTCAGGCTACCACTCTTCCAACACCCACTTCCACAAGCACACTTTGGGTCTTTTTCACGGTAAAGTGCCGTGCTTTTTGTAGGTTTTATGTACTTCTTAACCACGTAATAACTTTGTGTAAAAAAAAATGGCACGGCAGGGGCGTCTGACCTCCTCGAACTTCCCAAGGAGGAAGGAGAATCAAGATGACCCACCCAAAGCTGATTCCCGTGAGGCAGAGATCAGACACGCCTCCACCCTTCAACCTTTTTACCAATTCTGACACCGACTGTCCCACCCACGGCACTCTCTACTTCTGTGCTGGGTTCCATATTTCATTGCAATGGCCACACCAAACTCACAGACAATACTCATGGTTATGGGGTTTATTAGGGGACAATGCAGGTTCAGGAATGCTCAGGATACAGTTCTTCCATCAGGACAGCCTCTTCTCAGCCATGCCCACAGGCACACCTCCGGCCCTCCGCCTCTGCCCTGCTTGGGCAAGTGTTACAAAGCTCTTTTAGCTCTGCCGATAAGTGCCCCAAGGCACCCCACTATGCCAGTAAGCCTCGGCCTGAAGGCGCTCAGCTCTAGCTCTGTGGGCCGGGATGCCCACCCCACCATCTCTTGCCTGTCTCCTGGCCCTGCTGCCACCATTGCTCTGCTGCCGCTTGGCACTGTCTTTGGTGTTACAGCTGTCTCTTTTGGTCTCCTGGTTCCAGCAGCTTCTCAGTGCAGGGATCCCGGGTCCAAATGATGCACTCCACTCCTGGCTCTTCTTTCTTGGTGGTGGTGAGATCCTCCCTGCCTCTGGGATGGCTCATTTTTAGCCTAGAGGGATGGCAAAACTGACAAATCCTTTCATTAGGGTTTCATAACCCTTATTTGCATTGCCCCCCCCAAGGGTACCTTGCACCTTACTTACATTATTAGCAAGCTATCCAATCCCCTTGGTGGGCCACAAGTACTTCATTTGCATAGTCCCATCCAGTCATTTGGTGGGAGTTCAAGACTATGGCTAGAAGGGCCATATTAAGTAATTCACTGCACTGCAGTCCACCCCCAGCTCTTCTAGCCATTGGCCCTTTCATACTTGAAGGATTACTTTCTCTCTCCTAATCATTTTACCAGTCCAAAACAGTCATTAACAATTAGCCGTGCAGTAGAGCAAAGAGTCCTAAGGGTATGGTTACTCAGGTACCCATCTAATCTGGTCAGGTTCTCCGAAAGTCGTCTCAGCTTCATCTTCTCTGACCCCTGATAAAGTTTAACTGACAGAAGATTATTCCCTTGCTCTGAGTCTCTCTCAAGGTATCAGCATAGCAAAACCTTTAAGAGACTTTAGTTTCGGCCACTGTACTTCAATCTAGAAGTGCCTTCCCCTCAGTGCCCCCCTTCACAGTTATTGCTTCTACAATTGCAGTTTTTACAATCACAATTAACCCTGTTAACAATCAACACACAACTGAATCGTATAATCCTATCAACATCTTCCCCTACCCTGTCTTCCCCAGACCCATCAGGAAAAGAGGGATCTCTTCAGTGGGGATCCTCCCTTGCCCCCCTCATTTAATGTAAGCACACTCAAGAAAGCATGTAAGCCAGCCACTTCCTGCCTTAATCCCCGCACCCCCGTTTTAGATAGCCAATGTTTAAATTGCTTGTCTCTATCAAACCAGTACTCTGAGGAGACAGCATGTTCCTTGGTCTAAGAGTCTTCTGTTCTTCTGTTCTTGGAACTTTGAGCATCTGCATCCATAAGCACAGTCCAGTCCAGAGCAAACCATCAAACTGCAGCAATCTATACCAGCTCACGGTATCAAACATCTTCCTCTTCATTTGGTCAGGTTCTGGACAGCTCATCCCAAGCCATCCAAGCTAGATCACAATGGGTACACAATGGGTACCAGCCATAAGCTTGGAAATTCACACACCTCCCTGCACTTCAGACCAGCCAGCTCCTTCTTTCTTTCTCATCCCTAGCCCCCGTGGGCCAAGTCAGCGGGCCCCACCTGTAAGCTCAGGGTTCCACACAACTCCCTGCACTTCTTTGTTTTGATGTATAGAATTGTTAGTTTCCTTTGTGGTTACCTTAATATTTACCCCTATTTTTCTAAATTTAAGCCAATCTTTTGTTTCTTTATATCACCTTGACTTCCTCTCCATATGAAAGATCTTATGACTGCATTTTTTTAGTCCCTCTTTTTTGTTTTAATGTCATCTTTTACATAGTGATGTCTTTTGTTTCCCTATTTACAGTGTTTTAGCTTTGATTGATTTTTGTGACTTCCCTATCTGGGTTGATACCTGGTTGCTGTGTCCTGTGTTCTAGTCTTGGGTTGTTATCTAATGTTATTGATTTTCAAACTGGAGGACTCCCTTTAGTATTTTTTGTAATTTTGGTTTGGTTTTTGCAAATTCTCTAAATTTCTGTTTATCTGGAAATGCCCTAATTTTGCCACCATATTTGAGAGACAGTTTTGCTGGATATAAAATTCTTGGCTGGCAATTTTTTTCCTTCAAGGCTTTATATGTGTCATCACATTGCTCTTGCCTGCATGGTTTCTGCTGAGTAGTCTGAGCTTATTCTTACTGACTCTCCTTTGTAGATGACTTTTCGTTTATCCCTAGTCGCTCTTAAAATTCTCTTTATCTTTGGTTTTGGCAAGTTTGATTATAATATGTCTTGGTGACTTTCTTTTGGGATCTACCTTATGTGGGGTTCGATGAGCATCTTGGATATCTTCTCATCTTTCACAAAATCAGGGAAGTTTTCTGCCAACATATCTTCAACAATTCTCTCTGTATTTTCTGTTATTCCCCCCTGTCCTGGTACTCCAATCACTTGTAGGTTATTCCTTTTGATAGAGTCCCACATAATTCTTAGGGTTTCTTCTTTTTTTTAATTCTTTTACCTGATTTTTCCTCAAACAAGTTGGTGTCAAGCGCTTTATCTTCAGTCTCACTAATTCTGACTTCCATTGCCTCAGTTCTGCTCCTATGACTTTCTATTGAGTTGTCTAATTCTAAAATTTTATTGTTAACTTTCTGGATTTCTGTTTGCTGTCTCTCTATGGATTCTTGCAGCCTGTTAAATTTGTCATTATGCTCTTCTCTAATCTTCTTAAGTTCCTCTATTGCTTTGTCTCTGTGTTCCTTGCTTGTTCTGCATTTTGACTGATCTCCTCCCTAATCTCTTGAAGAGTTCTGTATATTAATCTTTTCTATTCTACCTCTGGTAATTCCAAGAAGTTCTCTTCCTCCAGAAGATGTCTTGATTCTTTGTTTTGGGAGCTTGCTGAAGCCATCATGGTCTGCCTCTTTAAGTGATTTGATATTGACTGTTGTCTCTAAGCCATCAATAAGTTATTATATTTATTTATGTTTGCTTACTGTGTCCTAGCTTCTTGTTTTGTTTTGTTGTGATATGCCCAAATAGGCTGCTCGTATGAGCTAGTTTGATTCTTGGCACCTGTCATGGATTGAATTATGTCCCCCCAAAAAACGTGTGTATCAATTTGGCTGGGCCATGACTCCCTGTATTGTGGGGTTGTTCTCCATTTTGTGATTGTAGTTTTACATTAAAGAAAATTAGGGTGGGATTGTAACACCCTTACTAAAGTCACATCCCTGATCCAATGTAAAGGGAGTTTCCCTGGGGTGTGGCCTGCACCACTTTTTATCTTACAAGAGATAAAAGGAAAGGGAAGCAAGCAGAGAGTTGGGGACCTCATACCACCAAGAAAGAAGCACCAGGAGCAAAGCGTGTCATTTGGACCTGAGGTTCCTGCGCAGAGAAGCTCCTAGTCTGGGGGAAGACCAATGATGATGAGGACCTTCCTCCAGACCCAACAGAGGCAGAAAGCTTCCCCCTGGAGCTGACACCCTGAATTTCGACTTCTAGCCTACTAGACTGTGAGAAAATAAATTTATCTTTGTTAAAGCCATCCACTTGTGGTATTTCTGTTAGAGCAGCACTAGATGACTAAGACGGCACCTCTGAAGCTCTAACATCCTGTCACAGGTGGTTAGATCTGTTACTAGGTATGTGAGCCCAGGAGTCCATTTACTTTTCTTGTATGGATTCAGCTCAGGTGTCCAGGTGGTTGGTCACCAAGTGCGTGATACAGGCTCTCACCTACAGTTCTAGACGGGCAGGGGTGATTGGAGTCAGCCTAGGTATCTGGCTGCAGTAGGAGGTCAGACACTGAGCAAGGAAGGGGGCTGGCGGCTGCCCCTGAGAGTCTAGGAGGAAAGCATGTCCTTGTTCCCTAGAATGCGTAGGTGGGTGGGTTTTGCAGCTAGACTTTGGGCACCCAGTGCTGTTGGCTGTAAGGACTGGGAGGCATCACTTATTCTTGGATCCCTGTCATGGGCGGCTAGGTGGTGTAGGTGGAGCCACCAGTCCTTAGGCCCCTGATGTGGGTAGGTGAGGACCCTGCTTAATGGGCAGAGCAGTGTCAAATGTCACAAACCTGCCACTCCACCATATAACTGATACAGCTGAAGTTAGGCTTCAGGTATATACCCTGTTGTACTGTGTTAATGAGGGCCTATCCTGTTGAAATGGGCCCACACAGGTCCATGCAGGGGTGAAAGGCATTCAAAGTCCATGGACCCCTTATGCCTGTGCCTAGGCAAAGGAGCTGTGCATGCCCTGAGTTCCTGGCTTAGGGAGCTGGCAGATTATTTTTTCCATTTGTTAATTTGTTCCCTCTCCAATGCCAGGAGAATGGCTCAAGGGCACATGATGGGTCCTACTTCTGGTCCAGGGGACACGGCAATCACTGAAGCTGGCCTGGGACCTGGTGCAAAGTGGGGAGGAGGCAGGTAAATGGGAGAGAGGTTCTTCCCTAACAGGGTGCTTTTTGATCCGTGCAGTGGGTTAGATGCATCTACTTATCTTTTGCCGATCGGGCATAGCTTTTCACTCGTTCTGGAGGTCTGAGTAGACTCCCTGCTGCTCGGTCTCTCCCGATGTGGAAAATGCATCCCCAGCGTCACTGCTTGAGTGAGTGCGCACACCAGCCAATCCAGCCTGCAGGGTGCCGGTTCCCACCAGGTCAGGTCTGGCAACTCACTGCTTCCAAATCGTCTCTCCCTCCCCTGCCACTCAGACCAACTCCTCAACTTTGCCTTTGATGTTCAGTCCTCCTAGATTGTCCTATATAATCGATTCACTTGTTTTTTCAGTCTTTGTTGTAAGAAGGACCACAGGAAGCGTCTGACTACTCTGCCATCTTGACCCCGCCTCCTCCCTGCGCTTCTGACTAGCCAGCCCTTTATCTCTCCCTATCCCCTGTGGGCTAGGTCAGTGGCTGCCAATCAAACATGTGCAAACTCAGCCTCTCTTCACTGCAGCACTTCCCCTACTTCCACTCACTGAGTGGACCCAGGTGGTCACCACAAGTGAGCATACCACGCTGTCTACTCACTGGCTCCCTTTAACTTCTAGTCCTAGAAGGAGAGGGTTCTTCTGATGGGCACTGACTTTTCCTGCCTCCATGCACTGAAAGGCATTGAAAGGCAAATGACTTGCTCAAAATTCAAAAAGCAAAACAGTTTTTTTTTCTCTGCAGATCCTTCCTTCAAATGCATATCTCCTGTTCTCTCAGCAGCTCTAGGTGTGGGTCTGTGTGTCTTTTCAAACACAAATTTCCTGATTCCGAAGAGTTAGGGTGGGTCTCAGGTATACACAGAGCTACCGCATTGAATTGAACAGCTGTGCTTCTTTCAGGCAAATCCTAGCTCCCCTTTTAGCGTATCTAATCAAGTATTGGCTGAAAGCAGAGTTACATGCTTTCTGTTATCTATAATACCCAATATTTATTTCCGTCATATATTTAGGTCTGCTTTACAACATTGGGTAGAAGAAACATTCAATATCAGGGGTACATTCAAGTAAACACATAACCGTTTTTAAAACATTCCAGTTTCATCGTCTCCACCCCTTGACTATCTTCCCCGTTCATATGCATATGGCCTCAGGCTTCTGGCTGGTTGGAACCGGTAGACCTGGCAGCCTATCAATCATCTTGCTTATCTGGACTGGCTTCTGTGCCAAGTCATTCCAGCTGCAGCTTTTCTCCCCCGAGTTGCAGCATAACATCTCTTACTTTCTTTTTAGCCGTTAGAAATAACAACTAAATTAGCTATCTAGGAATCAAAAGGTTCACCTCCCACACCCCTTCATTATTTCTCTAACAAAGTCTCATGCTCCCATGAGTCTGGAACCATTGAAACAAATTCCCCTTCTGATGCCTACTGTAAAAATGGTGTGGCAGGGATGTCTGACCTCCTCTAACTTCACGAGGAGGAAGGAGAATCAAGATCAACAGCTCAAGGCTGATTCCTATGAGGCAGAGGTCAGACATGCCTCCACCTTCCAACCTTCTTACCCATTCTGACACCAACCATCCCACCCACGGCACTCTCCGTCTCTGCTAGGTTCGATAATTCCTTGCAATAGCCACACAGAACTCACAAACAATACTCACAGTTATGGGGTTTATTAGGGAAGTAACAGGTTACAATTCAGATTTAGGAATGCTCAGTATACAATTCTTCTATCAGGACGGCCTCTTCTCGGCCGTGCCCGTAGGCATGCCTCTCTGCTTGGGCAAGTGTTACAAAGCCCTTTTAGCTCTGCCGATAAGTGCCCCAAGACACCCCACTCTGCCGGTAAGCCTCAGCCTGAAGGCACTCAGCTCTAGCTCCATGGGTCGGCAAAACTAGCTCCACCAAGTGCCCAGAGGCACCGTACTTGCCAGCCAACCTCCTGCCTGAAGGCTCTCAGTTGTCTTGATCCGCAGGCCAGGATGCCCACCGCATCATCTCTTGCCAGTTTCATGCTTCTGCTGCCACCATTTCTCTGCCACCACTTCTTGCCATCTTCGGTGTTATACCTTTCTCTCTTGGTCTCCTGGTTCCAGGAGCTTCTCAGTGCAGGGATCCCGGCTCTGAAGGACGCACTCCACATCTGGCTCTTTCTGGATGGTGGTGAGATCCTCCCTTCCCACCTCTGGGATGGCTCATTTTAAGCCTAGGGGGATGGCAAAACTGACCAATCCCCTCATTAGGGTTTCATACACCTTATTTGCATGGTCCTACCCCCACAAAGGTGCCATGCACCTTATTTACATTATTAGCAAGCTGTCCAATCCTTTTGGTGGGCCACAGACACCTCACAGACAGTCAGCTCATGGGAGTTACAAAACTATGGCTAGAAGGGCCATATTAAGTAATTCACCACACCACACTGTGCTACCATTATTAGGTTTTATGGGTCAATGGCAAAGTTCCTGAGTGTTGTGTCCCTAATCCCCTTTCCTCTGCAAGCCCTGTGGTTTTGACTGCCCTGTTTTGCAGAGTGCAGTGATTTTTAGGTATCCTATGTCACATTGGAGCAGAAATGACTATGCAGCTATTTCCTGCCTTGTCCTTTGAAGAAACCGTTCTTGTGTGCTGTTCAGTCAATCCCTATTCACAGCGACCCTATAGGACAGAGTCGAACTGCCTCATAGGGTTTCCTAGGCTGTAATCTGTTACAGGAGCACATTGCCGAGTCTTTTCTCCCAAGGAGCAGCTGGTAAGTTTGAACTTTAGACCTTTCAGTTAGCAACTGAGCTCTTCACCATTGCCACCAGGGCTGACGAAACCAACAGCTTAACAAAGGGCCCAGTTCAGTGGTAACAGTAGCCCTACACAGGCCAAGGGTGTGTGGGATTCTGAGCTAGTGGGATTACAGGACCTCACATTCCTTCAAGGGCCCTGTGTGCAGAGGCACTGACGGGAGAAAGGCCGTCATGAATCTCCCCAGCAGCGCTTTGTCATATGAATCATACAGCTAGTATCACACAGGCTGACCTGGACTCCTCCACTGAAGGGCAGGAGGGTCATGCCCCTTCACTGGAGAATACCCCAAAGTTACCCCAAGTGTGAGGTGAAGGAGTATGACAGGCTAGAGCCATCAGGCCACCGGGTTGTGGCATCCAGGAGGGGAAGGGCTCCAAAAAGCAAACCGAACCCACTGCTATCGAGTCGATTCCTACTCATATCGACCGTATAGGACACAGTAGAGCTGCCCATAGTGTTTCCAAGGCTATAATCTTTACAGAAGCAGACTGCCACATCTTTCTCCCGTGGAGTGGCTGGTGCGTTCGAACCGCCAACCTTTTGGTTAGCAGCAGAGCACTTAACCACTGTGCTACCAGAGCTCCTTGAGGAAAGGCTGGGGAGGGTAAATCTAGAAAGTTCTTTGACCCTCACTGGGCCACAGGACTGCAGGCCAGCTCTACTCGAAGATCCTGGGGGTGACCAAGTCTGGGCGGGGGAGCGCAGCTCTTCTCTCCCTCTCAGCTCTCATGTGGGGTCTCTGGGCTCCTAGGCAGGTTCCTACCTGCCCTTGCCCCCACTTAACTGTACTTAGCCCTCTTTTTTCTCACCCACAGAGCCGGCTGTGCCGCTGCCCACTTTACTTCACCATTCAGAGGCACCCCCACTTCCGGAGGCTGTTTAATTTCTCCACTCCAGTGCTGCTGTGGGGGCAGCCCTTCACGCAAGAGCTCTGGGACAGCCTAAGCCAGCACAAAGCCCCCTATGGCTGGCAGGGGCTCTCCCACCAAGGTAGCCGCCCACACCACCTCTCCCCAATGCCCTTCCACCTTAGCTAATCCCTGCCTCCTGCTCTTGGCCTCACAGCAGCGGTGACGGGGACCTCCCTGTCCCCGCTTTCCTCTCAGAGGGATTGACTCTGGGCTGTGCACGATTCCTGCCTTACCTCAGGCTCTGAGGGAATCAGTGAGCAGGGCCGGGGCTGCCCCTGTGGAGCGACTCTCACCATTTTGGGACCCCCTTGGCCTAAAAGGTGCCAGTGTCCAAAGGTGGCTGAGAAGAGAGGCTGTGAGGTCTCGAACAACCTTGCTCATTGTGTTGCTGTGGAAACCACCCCACTTCTCAGCCCAGAGCCCCCTCCATGTGAAATCTGCCCTACCCCCACCCCACCACATTCCTCAGATTATTTTCTTTTGGAATATACACAGGCTTGAGAGGACTTTTATTCTGAGTTCTTGAAGAAATTGAGAGCCCAGCCAAGTGCCCCCACTCCCACCTTCCTCTTTTCAGTTCTAACCCTCCCACCCACGCTCTGTGCTTTCAGGGGCTTCTGCTCAGGCCTCAGGTGAGGGGCAGCACCACAACCAGGTAGTCTTTGCAAGGCCCCAGATGACCCTCTTGACACCCCTCCTCTCAGCACCCCCTTGTCCTACACCCACAGCCATTGCCTCCACCCTGAACCTTCTGAACAGCTCGGAGAGTGCGGAGCTGTTTGCCGCCTCCAGGGAGCCGCATCCAGACTGCGTTCGGTGTGCCGTGGTGGGAAACGGAGGTATACTGAATGGTTCCCGCCAGGGTCTGAACATTGATGCCCATGACTATGTGTTCAGGTATGGGGGGCAGGGGCCAGGGAGGAGGTGGGACAGAAGAGCTGGGAGGAGGCCGGGGAGCATTTTCTCTGAGGGCCACGGGCCTTCTAAGGAACTAGCTTGGCAATACAGACAGGCATGGACAAAGGAAAATGCAAACAGTAGACCTTCAAGGCAGGCCAGAGAGACCCTGAGAAGGAGTGGCCAGGGCCTAATTTACTCACTTCACAGGGAGACCCTGAGGTCTGAAGGAGTGGGTTTCACAGCTGGTGCTGCCAGGGCAGTGCAGCAGTGGGAGTGGTCTGCACAGAGGCACGGGGACATGCATGGGGGAGCTGTGGGGCTGGAAGGACAAACAGACGGTGTAACCACAGAGGCTGGTGGGCCTCTGTTCCAACCAGACTCAATGGTGCCGTGATCAAAGGCTTTGAGGACGATGTGGGCACCAAGACCTCATTCTATGGCTTCACAGTGAACACGATGAAGAACTCCCTCATCTCCTACAGGAAGCTGGGCTTCACTTCCGTGCCGCAAAGACAGGTGAGGCTTCTGATGGGGCACGCCATTGTTGTGATGGTTAGCGCCTTTGTTCCTGGAACCCCCTCCATGGGTGGGCCACAGGATAGATGAACCTGGTGTTGTGGATGGAGAGGTTGTGCCAGGATCTTGGCTACATGTGATGGAGCCACTGAGGGAAGGAGGGCCTGGTTGGGGACTCCCTGCTGTTTCATGGAGGACAGGACTCTTCTGGAGCCTGAGACGTTGGACTGCGAACACTGGCTGAACGCTCTGTGTGCCATACAGACACATATATACATAAAGCATGTCAACCTCATTGGACTGGTGAGGTGGCTGGTGTCCAACTTCACTCAGCAAGCAAGAGGTTGGGCCAGGATTCACCCCCAGATGCCCACCCCAGAACTCACACTCCTTGGGGAGATGAACCTGTTGTAGCTTCTCACAAGGGAAAGAGTATTTCCTGAGTGCCCAGTCTTCCCAGAATCGTTCTGGGCGCATATGCCCAGCCCCAAGTCGGGGCTACAGAGTTGTGGATGGCAGCTAACTTCACCCAGAGCCAGTGACCCAAGAGAGAGCCAAGAAGCTGCAGCCCTTTTATGACTTAGTCTCTGAGGCTCTGGGAGGTCACACAGCTAGAATTGGAATCCAGGTGTCTTTGACTTCAGAGCTAGGGTTGTTCCGTTTCCCCACTAGAAGAAGGTGTGGTCTCTGGATTCTCACAACAGCCCTGTGCAGGGAATTTTATTGTTCAGAAACTGAGGTTCAGAGAGGTTGAGAACCCTGCCCAAGGTCGCAGTTAGTAGGTGGGGGAGCCAGAACTGAGCCTCTGCCTGCTGGCCTCTAGCTTCTTTTAGCCACAACCAGTTAACATCACACCCTGCTTCCCCTCTTGAGTGCTCTGGGCACCATATGTAGGGTTAGGAAGAGACCAGGATAAGGGCTTCTATGGCACTGGATGGATCCAGGTTGAGTGTTCTAGAAACTTCCTCCTCTGGCCATGGAATTCAGGCGTGTCCGAGGCATAGTGTCTATGCCACCAATCCCTCACCGTAAAACCTCTTAGCTCATGACAGAACTGAATGGGGTAGCTTTATTTCAGGTGTGGGCACAGTGCTTGTGTGAGTTATCTACTGCTGCCTAACAAATTTCCCCAATCCCTCAAGGCTTTAAACAACAAACACTTATTATCTCACAGTTCCCATGGGTTAGGAATTTGGGAGCAGCTCAGGGGAGTGGTCTGGGCTCAGGGCCTCTCAGGTGGTTGCAGTTAGGACTGGCTGGAGCTGCAGTCATCTGAAGGCTCGACCGGGGCTGGAGTCAAGATGGCATGCTCACAGGTGCCGTCATGTGGGCCTCTCTAAAGGATACAAGAGTCCTCACTACAGGGCAGCTAATTTCACCAGAGTAAGTGATCCGAGAGAGCGCAAGGAAGCTGTAGGGCCTAAGTCGTAAATGATCTAGGCTCCAGAGTCACACACCATCACTTCCCCTTGTTTTCCATTATTAGAAACAAGCCACCAAGTCCAATCCACACACAAGGGGTTGGCCATGAGGCTTCACCCCTTGCAGGAAGGAGTATCAAAGGATTGTGAACATGTTTTAAAACCAGCACAGTACCTCAGGGCGGGAATTATCCAAGGGAAATTGTCCAGTCGGGCCAGGTAGCAGAGCTGGGAGGAGGAGGGTTGTCCACTCTGAGCTAAACGTGGTCTTGTCGCCATCGGGGCTCAATGTCTCTCTTGTCCTGACAGGACCTTCGCTATATCTTCATCCCTTCACACATCCGTGACTATGTGATGCTGAGATCAGCCATTCTGGGTGTGCCTGTCCCCGAGGGCACTGATAAAGGGGACAGGTGAGCAGCCAAGTGGGCGTGGGGTGCTGAGATAATGTGGGGCAGGGGCTGGGTGAGACAGCAGTCACCCCGTTGCTCCAGGGGCCCATGAGGTGTGGAGACAATAGGTGAAGAGCAGCAAGGAAGGAAGGTCAGTCCCAGGGGGCTTCCCGAGGCAGGTGGGGAAACCCCCCAAGAAGAATTCAACAGAGTGTTGGGGAACGGTGCCCTTCTTTCTACTCCTAGGACAGTCCAGGTAACCCCACGTCCCAAGTAAACTTCCTGATGAGGTGGGCTCGAGGGGCAGTGTTGCTGCTGAGTACTTGAGCCTGGCTTCCCTGCTCAGGCCCTGTCCACGTGAGCAGCCTGGCCCCCAGCTGCACGGGGGCACAGGCAGGCAGCGCTCACAGGGCCGTCCCACCACTTGGTGTGAGCACACCGTTTCTAGAAACGAAGAGAAGGGGCCAGTGTCTTTGCCACTCATCCTGGCGGCCTCCTTCCTGGGGCTGTGCCCATGAAAGAAGAGAAGCACAGTGCACGTGGGAACAAAGGACATTTTGTCTTCTCCCACCTTCCTGCCCAGCAGGCCTGGGCCCAGCTCTTTTGAACCTCTCCCCTGCGGTAGGAGGCTGTCCATTTCCTGTCCCGAGGTCAGGTCCCAGGAATCCCTCCCGCCCCTGCTGCCAAGCTGACCGGCCCCCCAGCTCAGTGCTCTGAGGACCACTCACCCACTCCCCAAAGAGCAGCTTCAGAGGGGGTCCTCACCGCCAGGCCGGGCCCCGCCCAGCCCTGACGATTACCCAACAATTGCTCTCTGTGACCAGGGGGGCTTTGTGATGCGGGCGGCCAGGCTCTTAGGGGGAGCTCGCTCAGAGCCATCGGGTGGACAAGAAGCCTCCCCAACACCAATGAGCTCCCCTTCCCACACCCCTAATCCATCCCCCACCCAGTCCCCCTCCCAGTCCCGGTCCAACAACATCGTCACCACTCCCACCCAGCAGCGCTCCAGCTCCGGTGGCCTAGCCCAATCCCCGTCCCCTTCCCCCACCCGGGGGGGCTCCTCCTCCCGCCAGCCCTCTCACCCTCCCACCCCCACCGTCTCCCAGCCCTCCTCCCGGGCCTCCTCCCTGACCCCCAGTCCTCATGTCCAACATGTGCCCCGAGGGTCCGCCCAAGGCCCCACTCCGCCCCCCTCCAAGTCTCCCTCCCAAACGGGTTTAAAATCTCTCTCTCGAAACCCCTCCCAAACCCCCTCTATGCCTGTCGCTAAGTCCCCCTCCCAAAGCCCCACCGGCTCGGCCTCCTTCATTGGGCCCATTCGAGTTATCCCATCCTTCATTGCCCCTTATGTGCCCCGCTTCATGAAGGAGCCCCCCTTTTTCCAGCCCCCGACATCGCCGCTTCCCCAAAACCACTGCTTTCCCTGCTCCTTTCCCTGTCCGCCACCACCCCCACCCCCGCCCCCGGACTCCCTCTACTTCCCTCTGCTCCCTCCTCCTCCCCACCACCCTCGGGTCAGCTGCTCCTACCCCACCCCTCCTGCCCTGTTCACACCCCCGTCCTCCCTCTCCTACTCGCCACCCACCGAAGTCCTGGTGAGCGGGAAGCCGCACGTGGTCCCCACCGTGCTGCCGGCCACCTTCTACACCCCCTTTTCCCGCTACTACTCCCAACCCCGCCCCCACCGGGCTGCCGGGCGCCGGCTCCCCTTGCTGGCCCTGAACCCGATGTCCCACCTGCCCACATATGACACGGGTTCGGGTCGCTCTGTCCACTTCTTTCGTGGGTCCTAGGCCTCAGACCTATTTTGGACCAGAAGCCTCTGCCAGTAAATTCAAGCTGCTACATCCAGACTTCATCCGCTACCTGACAGAGAGGTACGCTGGGGGGGAAGGGGGAGGGCTGGGGAGCAGAGGACCAGCTGCCCTTGGACAAGACCCCTCCCTCATCCACCCGCCCCCATCACTGTGGCCCTCCCTCCCGTAAGGAGAGTCCACTTCAGAAGGTTTCGGTTCATGCTTTAGGTACTTCCTCAACGGCGCTGGGGTTGTATCAGGTCGGGTCGGCAGGGAATGGAAAGGACACTCAGCTCAGGACAACCCGAGGTTTATTTACAAAGGCGCAGGCAGTGCCGGGGAACCGCAGGGTGCAGGGCCATCTTGGGCTATTGGAGGCAGAGTTGTCATCTCCTGTAGGCCCAAAGGGTGCAATGGTTAAGCACTCAGCTGCTGACCGAAAGGTCTGTGGTTCGAACTCGCCAGCCCCTCCAAGGGAGAAAGATCCAGTGGTCACAGCCTAAGGAACCCTATGGGGCAGTTCTACTCTGTCACATGGGGTTGCCATGAGTCCAACAACAAATCAGTCTAACAACAAATCAGGCTCAAACAGAGCCAGCCTGAGGGGACCCACAGGGGGAGCCGGAAGTTCAAACAGCCAGATCTCACTCCCCTCCTTCCCTCCCTCCCTCTGCCAGGGCGTCTCAGCAGTTCTACCAGACGCCAGCCAGCAAGGGGCCCATAGATGGGTGATGTAGACCAGTAGTTCTCAGCCATGTGTGGGAGGATTCTGCCCCCATGGGTCATTTAGCCGTGTCTGGAGACATATTTAGGGGACCCTGAGGGGCACACATGGTTTGTGCTCTCGACTACTAACCTAAAGGTTGGCGGTTTGAACCCACCCAGTGGTGCCACAGAAGAAAGGCCTGGTGATCTGCTTCCCCAAAGATTATAGCCAGGAAAACCCTATGGAGCAGTTCTACTCTGTAACACATGGGGTTGCCATGAGTCAGAACCGACTCAGCAGCAATGGGTTTGTTTTTCTGTTTGAAGACATGGTTGGTTGTCACAAGGGGGTGGAGAACCTCTAGTGGGTAGAGGCCAGGGATGCTGCTAAACATCCTACCACGCACAGGCCAGCCCCACCACAGAGAAGAATCTGGCCCCCAATGCCAGCAGTGCCGTGGCTGAGAACCCCTGCTGTAGGCTGTGGAGGCTGGCACCCCCAGACGGAGGACATCGGGTGGCTGCAGAGGAGCCAGCGAGCGGGGCTGGGTCAGGCTCCCCGGAGAATCGGGAGTGAGAGCAGGGGACAGGCCGCCCCTGTGGCCCCTGGGCTGCCCCCTGGCGCTCTCACCCCGCTCCCTTATCAAGAGGGTTCATTTTAACCAAAGTCAGTTCACCTGTTTCTCCCCCCAGAGAGGGAATTTGTTGGGCTGGAAGGGCCTGTTTTTGAGGTTCTCTGGCCCGTGTGAATCGGTGAAGCGTAATGGGCACGCCCGCCAAGCTAGTGTGGGGTCTACATGTCTTTCTGGTGTTTTAACCCCGCTTTTTGCTTCCAGGTTTTTGAAATCAGACTTGATTAACACAAAATTTCGAGACCTATATATGCCTAGTACTGGGGCCCTCATGCTACTGACAGCTTTGCACACCTGTGACCAGGTAAGAGGTCCTTGCCTTCAAGTGCCCACAGGTGTGCACGGGACCTGACCTGATCCCTCAACTGAGGCCTGTCACCCCCCTATGTGGGACTCTGGGCCTCTCTCCTCTGGGGAAAGAATCCCCAACTAAAGCAGCTCGAGGGGGTGCCACAGCTGATCTGCTCCCGCATTTCAGGGTCCTCTTAGTGACAGCCCCCAGCCAGCCTTGCCTCCTCTCCCACCTCCACTTCCTTCACTCTCTCTTCCTCAAGGCAACCACTCTGTGTACAGAAGGCGCCAATTATCCACCCTTCAGATTTCTCTTCTGACAAGGTCCTCCTGACAGAACTGAGCGGGCCATCCTTTTATGGGGACATTCTAGAACTGGGGCTGGGCAGCAGGCTTAGCCTTCCGCACACAAATCCTCTCAAGCGTGTGTGAATGCTACTGATGGGAGTGTCGTCCATATGCACTGTGGGGGGCAGAGCAGTTGAGAAGCGGATTTTCAAGGAAAAGCGGTGACCCCCACTAAAAGCAGGACAACAGCTGGAGGCCACACGCCACTCCAGACTCGGGCCCTCCACCTTACCTTTCCCTGTTTTAAAGCAGGAGTCTTGCCTGCAGTCCCCACTAGGGTAGGACGAGGTAGTCCCGGGCTTCTGCCTTCATCCTTGAGCTTCATGATAATCATGGCTTTGGGTTCAACACCCAGCTCAGCCACTCATCAGCAATGTGACTGGGGACACGTTTGATGATCTCTCTGAACCTGTTCCCCCACTTGAAGGTGGGGGACTGTGCCTTTCTGAATTTGTCACTTCACCTGTGTCTGTGTCTGTAGAACATCAATAAATGCTAACTCGGTGTCCGTCCTTGTACAGGTTAGTGCCTATGGATTCATCACGAGGAACTACCGGAAATTTTCCGACCACTATTTCGACCGAATAAAGAAGCCACTGATATTCTATGCGAACCACGATCTGCTTCTAGAAGCCGCCCTGTGGAGGGACCTGCACAAGGCGGGCATCATTTGGCTGTACCAGCGCTGACCCCCAGCCCCCAAGTCCTTTGCTTCCCCTTGCAGAGCTGTGGCTCTCGGGCCTTTCTCTCATCTTCTCAGCCTACAAGAGGGGCTCCAACTCCCCACGACCCTCCCCTTTTTCCCAACAGGGGACATAAAAAGTGGATTCACAACTGTCATGGAGGCCTGCTCCACCTGGGACACCTGATCTTGTCCTTGGTTCAGCCAAGAGAACTCCCCTCTAGGTCTGAGATAGACATCCCAACCTTGGCCGAGAAAAATGAACTGCTTCACACAGAACACTCCCAGGAGAGGAGCTGATTCCCACCAGCAAGGAGCAGCCTACCTCAGAGCTGAGCATCACGAAGCCAGCGGTTGGTACTGAGCTCCTGTAGAAACGGCAGTAGAGCGACTCAGGGCCAATCGATAGTACCAAGTACAACTACCAAGTACCTAACAGGAGGACCAAGCAGCAGTACAGGAAAATGCACGCTGCCCAGCAAAATCCTCCCACTAGCTACGTCAGCATTTCCAATCCCACACAGAAAACCTCCAAGCGATTCTTCAACAACTCAAGTATAAGTCTTAAAAGAGTCCGAGAACATGGTCAACTTATTTCTGATCTATGGGGAGGGGAAGCACCCTCCCCCCATGAGAAAGTGGGAGAAACGGAATTTGGCAGAATGTCGTTCGAGACTAGGTAACTGCCTAAACAATGAAATGACCGTTTTGTCCTTGTGTTGGGGAAGCAGAGGAAGCAGGGTGTCTAACTTGGGGATCACTCTAGAATTCACGACCCAGGAGCGTTCTGTGTCCCTGAAGAGGGTCAGTGCACGGAAACCTGCCTGCCACTGAGGGAAATCCCATTCGGGGGGCATTACCACCTTGTCATCCAAAGTATGACGTTACTGGGTGGTGAACCCTTGACCTCGGGTGTCAATAAATTTGAACTTGGTAAGGCAGTTTAATAATTTTAGACAGATTCCCTGAGTTTTTATTGGAAGTGGGTTTTAGGCTGTCTCATGCCGTGAGTGTACACCATACGGCCCTCTTGACCAAGTCCTGGGACTTACTGTCTTTGGATAGCTTGACGGGCTACACCACGCACCACAGAGGGTCTCTGCCAGGCTAGCAGGCAAGAGACCTCCCAAGACCCAGGACCTGGCCTTCAAAGGCTGATTTTATCAGCAGTTAAAATACTGCTGCTTTAGAAATTCAGGGAAATTTGATAACCGCAGTGGACGCTTGGGTTTTAATGACTAAAGCCAGCTACTGGGGAAACAAACCATCGCCTCCTGCTGCCTCCAAAGCAGGAGTCGGGTTCGAAGGACCTGTGATGTCTTCAAAGTCCCTGGGTGGTACAAACGGTTAACGTGCTGGGCTGCTAAGAAAACGAAAGGTTGGAGGTTCAAGTCCACCCAGAGGCGCCTCAGAAGAAAGGCCTGATGGTCTACTTCTGAAAAATCAACCACTGAAAACCCTATGAACAGTTGTCCTCTGACACACACACAGGGTCACCAATTCCTAAAATCTGCCAATGTCAGAGGTGACTCGACAGCACTGGTGGACTGTAGGGTTACTGGCATCAGGCCAAGTCCTCTCAGATCTGCTTTACTTGGCGACACCAACCTGTCCCCTGATCTCGAGACTGGCAGCGCCCAGTATGTTCCTCTGGACAGAATACCTGCTTTAGAAAAAAGTGTGGGAAATGTATTTATTTCCCCCTGACAATCAGTGTGCAGTCTAGTATCCTATGGAATGACTCTGTAGTAAAGAATCCGCTTTCCTGTAACCTAACATTGTCCAAACTTAGGGCCCCTGGCCCCTGCTCACCCACACCACTTTCTGACTCTCCCCATTCCCAATCAAATCTGCAGACACAGAACGTGCAGAGAACGTCTGTCAATCCTTGTTAGATTTGAAACAAGAGAGCCAGAGCAATGTTTGTGGGTTGCAACCCATCAGTAGGACAGTTCAGTGGTAGAATTCCTGCCTTCCAGGCGGGCAAACTCAGGTTCAATTTCCGGCCGATGCACTTCATGCGCTTGCGTGTTGCTGTGATGCTGAAGACGGTTCAGTGGAGCTTCCAGAATAAGACAGACTAGGAAGAAAGGTCTGGCAATTCCTAAACTCAGCCAATGAAAACCCTATGGATCACAATGAAACTCTGTCCAATCTGCAAACAATCAGGGGGACACTGCAGTGTTTCGTTGTCGTGCATGGGGTCACCATGAGTTGGGACTGATTCAATGGCAAAACAGAAAATGTCAGAGTCTGTGAAACTTCACTTAGATGAGAATGGGTGCTGAGTCACAGAATGTAATGCTCTTACGGAGGGTCTCCGCCAGAGTCTAAAAACCACTACACTAGCGAGTCAGGTTAAAAAAAAATACTTTTATTGGTGTTTCAAAATTTAAACCCAAGACGCATTGACAACTTCACAGGAAATCCACTCCAGAAACGTTTTTCTAGGCTGAGCATCTGTTCCCCCTTACAGCCTCCTCCCAACAGCATATACACAGAATAATTCCTGAATCTCCATTTACAACCCCCTAGTCCTGCCCATCTGTGAGAACACACCCAACTAGGCCCTCATTCCACTACCTGCCAAAGGTTTCCTGGGATCTCACTGTTGAACTCCTGAACGAGCCTCCCTCTTTCGCCTTGGGCATTATCAGCAGAGCTGTGCTGGTCACCTCTGTAAACAGGTCTAAGGCAAGAGCACAGGTCCTGTGCCTGGAGTCATGGTGTCAGGCCACAACCTGTAAAACCAAAGGGCAATTAGAAATGATGGTCAACTAAGCGATTCAACACAGAAAGCTACATGTGAAGGATGCCCAACTCGGGGGAAAGGGCAATCTAGGGGCACTCACTCCAACCAATCCTGTGTGAGGTGTACGTGTGTGCTGGGGGGAGGGGCCCACCGTCCAGGCACCACCACACGGCCTCCAGGCAGGCTGGTGCCATTCCAGGACGGCTCCACACTGCAGCTCGTGGGAGGAGCCGTCACAGGTCCCCCGCAAAACCCCTCTAAGACACAAAGCTTTCAAGTCAAACCTAAAGGTTGACGTGGCTCCTGTGAGCAGTCAGGCCTGCTCCGAGGTAGAGGAGAACCGAGGAGGCGGACGTGCCCGGGGCCGGCATGCCCTTTCACCTTATTTCACTTGCAGGCAGTGAGCTGCTGGTGCCCGTTTTCATGCTCATTAAAGCTCGGCCCATACACAGCTCCCCTGGTGACCAAGCAAAAACCGTGACCTTACAGAGTTGGCACACACCCCACCATTTCAGCAGCTGAGGCAGAAATCCTACTGTGCCCGTCTCAGGCCTGGCATTTACGTGGAAACAAAGCCAGAACCTTCTGCGTGCCACCTGGCTGCTCACATGCCAGCCAGCCAGCCAGCCCTCTGCCATCAGGAGCAGCTGCACGCCAGCCGTTCCTCAGGAGAGCTGCCTGGGAAGCAACAAAGCCCCCAAAAACCAAATCACTCTGCCAACGCCACAGCACCTTCTCCTGAATGTCAGGACACTGGTGGGCAGGCGGGGCTCAGAGGGTCACGGGCATCCTCACCACCACAGCTGGCCTGCATTTCAGGTTCCCGTCTCGGCTTCAAAGGCCTCATTGTTTTCCTGAAATGTGCGACAAGCACCCCCTTTCATTCCACAACAGCATCAACCAGAGCCTGGTCACCTGCCCATTCCTGCCACCTCTCAGGGTTCCCGGCCCGCCAATGCACACAGCCTGTGCCCTCAGAGCTATAAATCACGGGGCCTGGAGCATGACGAGAGGGCAGCCACCCCGCTGGTTTTCAAATTTCAGAGGGATGACACACTCAACCAGGGAGTCACACTTCTCACCGGAGTCCATTCAATCTGACCCCTTACAGAGACTGGACTTTAAAGAGCTCAGGGCCAGACCCTTAACCCTCAGGATGGCTTACTCTCCCTCAGTCACGTTGTTCAGACAGAAGCAGCTAGACACCACACGCTGTGGGTTTCTGAGGGACAGATGTAAGCACTAAGCTTACAAATCACAGGTACCTTCTCACTTCACAGCCCTGCCTAGCATACTGCAAATACCTGGCAAGGAAAACGAGGCCAAGTGAAGGTCTCCCTGCCACTCACTCAGAGTTCACCCCAAGGCCACGGCAGGGAGACTACAGGAATGCCCCACCCAAGCCTGCTGGGACTGTCCCCTCTGCTTACCCACATGAGCGACATCTGGCTCGGCTCTGGGCCCGGGTGGAGGACCCAGCACTGGGGCCAGCGGTGTCTCCTGCTGAAGGATGCTGTTCAGCCTCGGAAACTGAGGCCCAGACCGCACCTGGCCAGGAGCAGGAATTAAAATAGAAACATCTACTCAAGATACGCTCAGATACCCCTCAAGTACCTCTCTGTAAGATCACGCCTGACCCTCCAAAGGCAAGCACGAGCCTGAGTGTCAGACAGCCGAGCTCCACACGCAGAGGCTTTCTTCGCCCTCAGACAGGGATAACTTCGCATCATCGACTCAGCTCCCGCCAACCTGCCAGCCCACAGCACCAGCATCCTCAGGACACGCAAACTGTTTTTGAATCAAATTTTGCTTTACTTCCATCACAAAAACTATCTTGTCTACTTTATTAGACTGTGCAGTTCCTCAAGGGTAAAAATTTTACTTGTCTTTTTACATCCAGTGCCTAGAGGCACCCAGTGTCCAGACCTGGCACAGCCACAGCTCCCTGCCCTTGAGAAAACAGGGCCGCTCGGCACAGAACACCTGGAAACCGTGTTTGAGTACATATTCTCTCTAGGGTGTCGGTAAAACGCCTGACAGCCCACCTCTCTCATCATCTCCGCCGTCCTGTTGACGACCAGCCACACGAACAGTCCCTGCTGCCAAGAGGCAGCGATGTCACACAAGGTCACTTCTTCACTCACCTGTGTGCAAAAATACTCCGCACGGCGGAGCAAGCATGTGGTGTTCAGGTTTTTAAGACCAGATTATAGATCTGCTGTGACAGCTACTTTAAAACAGCAAGCGCCTGTAATCTTGCTGTAATCACACCCTTGAGCTAAAAGCAGATCGGGTTATCTAACTGTCCCTACACTCCTGCTCTTGGACTGGCCCCACTCCAGGGCCAGTCTCCTCCAAGGCTGCGGGTGACGTAGAGCCAGGTTTGGAGGCCACTAACCCAATCCAAGGGAGCCTGGTGGCACCGTGGTTAAGAGATATGGCTGCTAACCAAAACGCTGGCAGTTCGAATCCACCAGCCGCTCCTTGGAAACCCTAGCGGGCATTTCTAGCATGCCCAATAGGGTCAGTATGAGTCAGAATCTAATCAACGGCAACATATTTTTTTAACCCAACACATTATCCCCATTTTACAGAAGAAACCAAGGCTCTGGTGTGGTTATTTGCTAACAGAGCTGAGACCAGAACCCAGATCTGTGGAGTTAGTCTAATACATGGGTTCTCAACCTGGGATCGACTATCATTTTGGGCAGAGAATTCTTTGTTGTGGGGGACTGCCCTACGCATTGCAGGATGTTTAACAGCACTCACTGGATGCCAGTAACAAACCCCCTCCAGCTGTGACAACCGAGGATGTCTCCAACCGTTGCCAAATGTTGGGGACAGCTCCTGGTTGAAGTCAAGGTCTGACCCAAGGCAATGTGACCACACAGTACAAGCAGGATGGAAGGCCCAGCCTTTTTACATAAACAGACCCAAGAGCCGGACTTCGGATGGACCTGGGTTCAGTCCCACCTTTTGGGATTAATTAACTGTGGCACTCTTGGCAAGTGAACTCTCCAAGCCTTGCCTGTTTTCCAAGGTGTCTCTGGGTAGATTCAAACTTCCAACCTTTCGGCTAGTGGCCAAGCGTCTGTGTGCACCACCCAGGGTCTCCTAACCTATGCAAACCTGTGAAAGAGCTCAAATCTTACCATTTACAGGTCTTTCATCATGAAGCTCCTTATATTCAACATCTCGAGGCGATGGGTTTCGTGTGACTTTTTTCAAAGCCTGCAGTCAGCACCTTTAACCTGAAAGGGAAATAAGGACAGTAAGCTGCACTCTACAGAAACCACGCTGAGGTGTTTATTCTCGAGACGGCTGTCAAAAGGCTGAGCCTCAGCAAGTCAGAACTCCTCAGAGAAGAAGTCGTCTCAGACAGGGATAACTTCAATCATCCTCAGCTCAACCAGTTAACATTTCTAAATCCCAGCAAAACAAGACTTAATTGCCAAGCATCCCTTTCAGCTCTACACAGTGGCATCCATTTTTGCTGCAAACCAAACTGTTGCCGTTGAGCTGATTCCGACGCATAGTGACCCCCTAGGACAGAGTAGAACTGCCCCCTAGGGTTTCCAAGGAGTGGCTGGTGGATTTGAACTGGCGACCTTTTGGTCAGCAGCTGAACTCTTAACCACTGCATCACCAGGGCGACACCCAAATACCCGTTGCCATCGATTCCAACTCATGGCAACTCCGTGTTACAGAGTAGAAATGCTCCATAAAGTTTTCAAGGCTGTGTCGTTTCATAAGCAGATCACCAGGCCTGTCTTCCAGGGCACCGCGGGGTGGGTTTAAACCACCAACCTTTCAGTTAGTAACCAAGCGCTGACCATGTGCACCACCCAGGGTCTCCTAACCTGCGCAAACCTGTGAAGAGCTCAAATCTTACCATTTACAGCTCTTTTATGATGAAGCTCCTCAGTCAACATCTCGAGGCGATGGGTTTCATGTGACTTTTTTCAAAGCCTGCAGTCAGCGCCTTTAACCTGAAAGGGAAATCAAGATAGTAAGTTGCACTCTACAGAAACCACGCTGAGGTGTTTATTCTCGAGACGGGTGTCAAAAGGCTGAGCCTCAGCAAGTCAGAACTCCTCAGAGAAGAAGTCTCAGACAGGGATAACTTCAATCATCCTCAGCTCAACCAGTTAACAAACATTCCTAAATCCCAGCAAAACAAGACTTATTTTCCAACTGTCCCTTTCAGCTCTACACAGTGGCATCTATTTTTGTTTCAGATAGTGACACCCAAAAACCTGTCACCGTCAATTCTGACTCATGGCAGCCCTGCGTGACAGAGTAGAACTGCTCCATAAAGTTGTCAAGGCCCTGTCCCTTCGGAAGCAGATCACCAAGCCCGTCTTCCAAGGTGCCTCTGGGTGGGTTCAAACTGCCAACCTTTTGGTTAGTAGTCAAGTGCTTAACAGTTTGCGCCACCCAGGAACCCTAGGTGGCCCCAAATTACACTGGGACAGACCCGCCTCATTTCTACCATTAAAAGCATTATCATTCTGTGGATGCTAAGATTCTGGCAGTGTTCTTACATGTCCCTAGCTGGATTTATGTGTCAACATGTATTCGTAGACTTGAACTTACTTCAGAACAAAGCATGAGGTAGATGTCTGAGACAGGCCTTCACGTCAGCTGCTTCCTCATTTTTGGTGACCACCCACTCTAACTCATTTTTAGGGTTTATCCATTACTCTTAAGCTTCAACCTGCAGCTCTGCTTCTCCCCATCTCTTCAGATGCCAAAATAAAGGCCTGTGGAGAAGAAAAAAATGAGCATTAAGACTCGCTGTAAAACTACGGACTGTAAGAGAACATCTACCGTCCCACTAATACTATCTGTAGAATTAAATAAAAAGTAATGGTTGGGGTCTGTCCTCAAGGCAATGCAAGAGTCACATGTTAAGACTCCCGGTGCTGAATTAAGAATTGCCCTCTCAGATCGTCCGCTCCGTGGGCGCACAGGGGAGACCAGCAGTGCCGCCGGGCGTTGAGAGGTTGCGGCAACTGTCCCCCAAGATGGGCTCTTCGACGTTAAAGGCAGACGTGAGCTCGCTCCCTCCCTCCACATGACACCAGCCCTCGCCATCTGGGAAGCGTTTTCTCATCCAATATCTCATTAATCCTCCCAGCCACCCTATGAGGTGGAAGATTGGGCTTATCGCCACCATTTCTCCTCTGAGGAAGGGGAGGCTCTGAGACGGCAAGTGTATCGGCGCCGTGTCAAGGACGATCTCGTTTCCCATCTCCGCAGCCTTACCACCACCCCAAGCCTGAGCCTGCCCGCCGCGCTCCGCACCGACACCCACGACCATGACTTCCAACCACGCGGCCGGAGGCAGAAAGAGCGCGAGACCGCGCCTGCGCAGAAGTCTTTCCGGCAGTCTCGTAGTAGCTGTCGCGATGCTGAGAAGAGGCTGATGGGAAATGCAGTTCAAAACAGCCCACTGCCGAGGTATGCGGCGTCCTCAACGGGGCTCCAGGCCCGGGTAAGAGGGTGGCCACTCCCAGGGACATTGAGAGCCTGGGGTGGGGGGAAACCTGGCTTATGAAGGGCCGCGGCCGTTAGGGAACGAAGATAGAGGGTCGCCTTAGCCGGAAAGTCATTAAGCTGCTGATTGTAGATTAGCGCTGGGCGAGATTGTCCCTGGGGAGGCGCAGAAAGTTCAGGGGGAAGGGGCCGATGAGGAAACTGAGGCCGGCCGAATTTCGTTTTCAGTGCTCTGCGGATTTTATTTGGGCCGGGGAGGGGTCGTTTAGGGTGGTCGGTTGGGTTAGTGAGGGGAAGGGTGGTTGCGAAAGAATTGTTCAGCGGCCCCCTCGGCTGCTTTTAAAATAGGGGCGAGACTGGTGCGGCCCATGGCGGGCGGCAGAGGGCGCCCCGGAGCGCGTTGGCCCTAAGGGCGGCTCTGAATGACCCTGAAGGCGGGCAGGCAGCCTCGGACCTCAGGGTCCCGTTGCCATGTGTCTTTAATTCTGAAGAGGGGAAAAAGCAGCAAATTAAATTATGAGAAGAACAGGATAATGTAATACTCATTGCTACTTTGTGAGTTATTTTCCAGACAACCGCTCTGCCTTCTGTTTTGAAATAATAGGGCAAAACAACTAGACTCAGGGCTAGAATTGACACAGGTTGGGGAATTAGTTTAAATTTGCAAGTCCACGAAGCGTTTTTGCATTACTACCTCCCCATTCACATCACCCCTCTAGCAAAGATCTCTGTGTGGCAAGTGGCATTTAGTCTGGATTGTATTACTCTATATGTAATATAGGAGCCCTGGTGGCTCAGTGGTTAAGCGCTCGGCTTCTACAGTGGTTTGAACCCACCAGCAATGGGTTTGGACAGCAAACTGGGAGTCCTTGGGTGGGGCACGTGGTTAATGTGCTGGGCTGCTAACTGATAGGTTGGAGGTTCCAACCCACCAGCTGCTCTGCAGGAGAAAGATGTGGCAGTGTGCTTGCTTCCATAAAGATTATGGCCTTGGAAACCCTATGGGGCAGTTCTACTCTGTCCTACAGTGTCCCTTTGAGCCGGAATCTACTCCACAGCAACAGATTTTAGAGAGCCCTGGTGGCGCAATGGTTAAGCGCTTGGCTGCTAACCAAAAGGTTGGTGGTTCAAACCCGCTCAGCGGGAGAAAGACCTGGCAATCTGCTCCTGTAAGATTAAACCCAACCCACTGCTGTCAAGTCAATTCCAACTCATAGTGACCCTATAGGACAGAGTAGAAGTACCCCATAGGGTTTCCAGGGAGCAGCTGGGGGATTTGAACTGCCGACTTTTTGTTTAGCAGCCTGCCACCAGGGGTCCCTGTAAAGATTATAGCCTTGGAAACCCTATGGGGCAGTACTACTCTGTTTTTTAGGGTTGCTATGAGTTGGAATCCACTCAGCGGAAATGGGTTTGGTTTTTTTATATGTAATATGTTGCAGGACTAGAAATCCATTGGAGTTTCCCAGCACAGGTTTGTATCCTGCCAACTATGGTCCTTTCCTGTTTGGAAAGCTAATTTATGGAGCCCTGGTGGCACCGTGGTTACGTGATACAGCTGGTAACCAAAAGGTCGGCAGTTCAGATCCACCAGCCACTCCTTGGAAACCCTATGGGACAGTTCTACTCTGTCCTCTAGGGTCACTATGGGTCGGAATAGACTGGGCGGCAAGGGGTTTGGTTTTATGTAGCAGGAGGCTATTTTCGAGTTACCACATTTGTTTATGTTTACCTCCCTTATTTGGTTGTAGACTCTTTAAGGGCAAGAGAAGTAGCTTTTGGTTTTTTTCTGTTTAAGTTTCCTGGCAGTGCCCCATTTGGTGTTCCTCTGCCTCTGCTCACAGTAAGTGCTCAGCAAATAATCACTCACTCACCTAGCGGAAACTTCCAGCTTATGAAACTGACCCTTGGCTTTCTCTTTCTGACCTTGGAAGACAAATTGTTTCGTATGATACTGAAGAAAGAATGCATTCTCTTCCTGCAAACTAAGTTCCTTTCATTTGAGACTTGTAGAGGAAATTGTAAGTGTGGAATTTCCCAAAAGCTGTTTGTGAAACTGGTGGGCAAGTGACCTCCTACAGGCACAAAAATGAGAGCTAATACTTCACAGCACTTCCTGTGTGTCATCCAGTACACTGAGTGCTTGAAACATATCAACCCATTTAGTCCTCACAACTGCACTATGAACTGCTGGGACTACCCTCATTTCACAAATGAGGAAATGGAAGTGTTGAGAGATTAGGTAACTTGCCCAAGTCCACAGATCTGGTAACTGGCGGACTCAGGATTTGATGCTAGCCTTTAAAGCCTTGCTTTCACCACTAAATTATATTGCATCACCTATATATAAGTTGATATTCATGGGGCTTTTGGTTTTGGGAGTGAAGGGTTCCACAGTTTTGAGCCCACTCTATGGAAGGAAGAGTCGGGTGAGCGTTAGTTTCTTAGCTGTAAAATGAGGATGAGGATGGTCGTCGCGACCTCACAGGACTGTTTAAGATTGTGCGTGCAAAGCACTTGGCACAGGGCCTGGCACAGGGAAGCAGTCAATGAGCAGAAGCTCTTATAACGTTGAACATACTTGGAACACTCATTTCACCGTTTTATGATTATTTGCTTGCATGACTGGCTTTTCCGCTAGGCCATGAGCAAGGCAAGGGTCAGGTCTTCATTCTTGGGTTTCCTGTAAAACTCTTTAAGTCAGCTTTATTGAGGTTTAATTTACATGCAATAAAATGGATGCATTTTAAATGTACAGTTAAGTAGTTCAATGAATGTATACATCCATGTAACCACAACCCCAGCTGAGATTTAGAATATTTCTGTCACCTGCAGGAGCTGGTTTCTGAAAGGCTGTGGGCTCCAGCAGGGCTGTCTTGGGCCTTGACTGGTTGCTACTCAGCGTGCAGTGAGGACCGTCTTCACAGCTCCTCGCTCTGCAGAGGCCACAGTGGCGCTGTTGCACCCGACAACGCACACCTTCACCTGCAGAGCCCGGCTGTGCTCAGAGGAACAGCTGCAGACCCAGGGCGGGTGGGGGTGCCGTGGGCAGTCAGGCAGCGGCCCAGAGGCCGGAGCAAAATACCCTGAGAGGCCTTGTGCCTGAGCACATCTGAGGTAGGCTGCTTAGGCCATCTGCAGATAACTGGGGAGACTGCAAGGAGGGGCCCTCTGGATCCTGAATAAGCAGGCCGGGGCTCCACAGTGTTGAGACTGAAGCGTCCAGGTTTTGTGATCTTGTCTGCACTCATTGCTGGTGAGGCCTAGTACACTTGAGTTGCACATACAGTGGAATTATTATATGGCCGTTACACACGGCTGGTGCAGCTCTATATTTATTGACGTGGAAAGGAGGAGTTACACAGAGGCTGTTAAGTGACAGAAGCAGATCACAGGCTGAACAGGACAGGAGTTCCCGGAGCTGTTTAGGGACCCAGGCTCTGAGTGCAAAGAGACAATCTAGGTAGCTGGGCCTGCTGTGTTAGGGCAGTTACCTCATAGGGTTCCATTCACTGGGAGGATTTAAGACATGGTGTCTGAAACCCACAGTAATGGAAAACAGAGCCTCTGGAATATCGAAGTTCATTTCTTAACCTGGAAAGGAATCTCATTTTATTAATAAAGACGTGAAGGAGGGTAGGTAGTATCCCAAGTAGCTGGCTGCTTACTTTTGGAGTGCTTGCACCAGTGATTTCACAGGAAGTTCATCCGTATGGTAGGCGCTGTCTGTTTCCAAGCCAGCAGCCGTTCTTCCTCCGTCTTACGAGCAGAACTTAGATTCCGTCCAGCTATTGGGTAGCCGTGTGCTTCAGGGAGGCAAGTCCCTCCCCAGGCCCAAGGGCAGAATCTTGATTAGTCTGCACCGAACATGACGAATCTATTCCCTTTGCCAGGAATTGTTTGAGGAAAGAATCTATGATGCAGTTATGGCCAAGGAAACCTGAGAGCAAGTCTGCCAGGAAACTTTGAGAAAGTTTTCTTGTTTTTAAAAAGAAGTCAGCGAAGGAACAGCCTCTCTGTGGTTTTGGGATATTGTGAAGATGTGATGCTTGAGGCCGCTGCGGCCATCTTGTACCTGTGAGCCTTGCTTTGAAGCAAGAGCCAAAGGTCTGCAGCTGGCAAAGCGGATGGAAGAAACAGTGTGAGTCCTTGAAGATGCTGCTGAAATAGCCAGTCGCCAAGCCCCCCTTCACACCTCTGATTTTGATTCGGAGACACATTTTTTTACATTTTAATATTTCTGAATGTGGGATGCATCTTACGAGCCGTGGCATCTTAGTTTCAATGAAGTATAGAGAGTGAGATTTTAAAAAAGAAATCTCTTCACTGCATGGATTCTCTAGAGGAGCAAAACCAGTGAAATGCATATATATAAATATAGAGAGAGAGATTTAATTCAAGGAAATGGATCACGCAGTTGTGGAAGCTGTCAAGTGCCCAAATCCATGGGTCAGACGTCAGGCTGGAGGCTTCTCCTGACTCACATGGTTGCAGGGGCTGATGAGCTCAAAATCGGCTGGCAGACAGCAGGCCACGGGCTCACGGGACTGTGGGAGCTGACAGATCCCAAAATCTGCAGGTCAGGCGGCAGCTGCTGGCTGTACAGTTATACCAAAATAAAAAGGTTAACTTCAAAAATAAAGAAATCATCTTATTGTTTAAGCCATTTTAAGTTGAATGTTCTGTTAGCGTCAAAACCATCCTAAATGATTCTGTCCTAAATGATCGACGTTTTCCAAATCTTTTGTTTTTTCATAATAATAATAATTACCTGGAAGTGTGGGCTAGGACACGGCAAAATAGAGAAAATGAACTGACGAGTGCAGGTTTTCTGAAGTAATAACAGCTAACGTCTGCCAAGTGTTC